TAGTTATCATAGTGGACATGCTGTCAGTGAACACGTCATAGTGGACATGCCGTCAGTGAACACATGGCAGAGTGGACATGCGGTCAGTCAACACATCGCAGAGTGGACATGCTGTCAGTGAACACATCGCAGAGTGGACATGCGGTCAGTGAACACATCGCAGAGTGAACATGCGGTCAGTGAACACATCGCAGAGTGGACATGCGGTCAGTGAACACATCGCAGAGTGACATGCGGTCAGTGAACACATCGCAGAGTGGACATGCTGTCAGTGAACACATGGCAGAGTGGACATGCTGTCAGTGAACACACGGCAGAGTGGACAGGCGGTCAGTGAACACATCGCAGAGTGAACATGCGGTCAGTGAACACATCGCAGAGTGACATGCTGTCAGTGAACACATGGCAGAGTGGACATGCTGTCAGTGAACACACGGCAGAGTGGACAGGCGGTCAGTGAACACCGCAGAGTGAACATGCTGTCAGTGAACACATGGCAGAGTGGACATGCTGTCAGTGAACACATGGCAGAGTGGACATGCCGTCAGTGAACACATGGCAGAGTGGACATGCGTTCAGTGAACACATGGCAGAGTGGACATGCCGTCGGTGAACACATGGCAGAGTGGACATGCCGTCGGTGAACACATGGCAGAGTGGACATGCCGTCAGTGAACACGTCGCAGAGTGGACATGCCGTCAGTGAACACATCAGAGTGGACATGCCGTCAGTGAACACGTCGCAGAGTGGACATGCCGTCAGTGAACACGTCGCAGAGTGGACATGCCGTCAGTGAACACGTCGCAGAGTGGACATGCCGTCAGTGAACACGTCAGAGTGGACATGCCGTCAGTGAACACGTCATAGTGGACATGCCGTCAGTGAACATGTCAGAGTGGACATGCCGTCAGTGAACACGTCATAGTGGACTTGCCGTCAGTGAACACGTCATAGTGGACATGCCGTCAGTGAACACGTCATAGTGGACATGCCGTCAGTGAACACATCATAGTGGACATGCTGTCAGTGAACACATCGCAGAGTGGACATGCTGTCAGTGATCACATGCAGAGTGGACATGCTGTCAGTGAACACATCGCAGAGTGGACATGCCGTCAGTGAACACATCGCAGAGTGGACATGCCGTCAGTGAACACATCATAGTGGACATACCGTCAGTGAACACGTCGCAGAGTGGACATGCCGTAAGTGAACACATCAGAGTGGACATGCGGTCAGTGAACACATCGCAGAGTGGACATGCTGTCAGTGAACACGTCAGAGTGGACATGCCGTCAGTGAACACGTCGCAGAGTGGACATGCCGTCAGTGAACACATCATAGTGGACATGCTGTCAGTGAACACATCATAGTGAACATGCTGTCAGTGAACACATCATAGTGGACATGCCGTCAGTGAACACGTCATAGTGGACATGCCGTCAGTGAACACGTCGCAGAGTGGACATGCTGTCAGTGAACACATCATAGTGGACATGCCGTCAGTGAACACGTCATAGTGGACATGCCGTCAGTGAACACATCAGAGTGGACATGCCGTCAGTGAACACGTCATAGTGGACATGCCGTCAGTTAACACGTCATAGTGGACATGCCGTCAGTGAACACGTCATAGTGGACATGCCGTCAGTGAACACATCGCAGAGTGGACATGCTGTCAGTGAACACACGTGAGCGGGGCAGATGAAGGGTTGGGTATATTGTCGGCCGATCTGGTTGTGGGTCAGAAACATGCAGCTGTGTGTTGGTCTCAGTGTGAAACAGCAGAGTGGGCGTAATGACGGGTTTTGTGTAGTGTTTTTAGGATTTTTAGGAGTTGTTTAAAAATGTATCATTATATATGAGGAGTTTGCTGGAAAAGATTACAGATCCTTTCTGAGGTCAAAGAAAAAAGATGTGCTGCTTGTATTTTTAGTTTCTATTTTATTTCCTGTTTTACTTTCTCTGTGACCTGCAGGCCTTTTGTCTGACCACAGAAGCTCATTACAGAGACCGAGCGAGGAATGTGACACACACACACACACACACACACACACACACACACACACACACACACACACACACACACACACACACAGGATGACGCAGGAAGTGTCACCCTATAAAAGAGAGCAGAGGTCCAGGAGGAAGGTCAGGGAGTCTCAGTCAGCTCTAAGGTAAGTCCACCACTTGTTCTGTCTCTGCGTGTGTGCGTGTGTGTGTGTATGTGTATGTGTGTGTGTGTGTGAGAGAAGAGTTGTTTATGTGACAAACTGTGGACCTGCGTTTGAACCGACTGATTCTGAGGACAAAAACAAAATGTGAAACGGCTTGAATCTTGTATTTAGTTTTTCATTATTTTAGTTATTTTTAAATCTTTGGAATGCAGAATAATAATAATAAAATAGATATGATGGTTGTTATTTAATGATTTGTGGGGACAGTTAAATACTTTACATCTTTGTGTTTTTATTATTAACTCTTTCATTCAGTCTTGTTTTATTTGACGCTTTATGAACCGTGTTTTTAATTTTAATACAGCGAGCAGATCCTTAAAGACATTTTGAAACATTAAAGTTTGAATAAAGACAAAACAAGAATTAATCATAGACAATAACTTCAATTATTTTTATCCCTGTGAGAAATAACTTCTGAATTTAAAATGATTTAACAATTATTCTAATTTCAACAGAAAAACAAAGTTATAATACTTTACCGTAAATGTTTACCGTAAATGTGTTTTAATCCTTTGATGTTTAATGTTTTATATTCAACATTAAAACGGTTTTATTTATATTTTAGTAATAAATTTGAATGTGACTCCAGCTGAAGAGGTTTGATCTCTGAATATATTTTTGTTTACATTTACATATAAACTTGATCTTTGTGACATTTAAACGTCTCCAGCTGTGATGAATTATTGATCAAATAAAGTTTTAATCTCTGCAGGACGTTTGAGGTCACTGTGAGGCGTTACCTAGCGACCAGGCTGTGTGTGAAGTGTATACCTGTTTATCATACAGACTAAGGACCGTGCATCAGTGACCTCCGTGTGTTTTTACCTCTTCATGTACGTACATCATCCTCAGACCTCATCACACTGAGGTTAGACGTTATGAAAACATTTTAAATAAAATTCTTTATTCTTGTTTACTTGAAGCTCATTGCAGACTTCCTGTTTTCACAGGACCTGAAAGATATCTGATTTATTCTGACTCTACGATGACCATTACTGTTTGCATGTTAGCATGTTAGTATGTTCAGGCTCTACGCAGGTTTTTATTTTTGAATGTTTCTCATGCCGTACGTCTGCAGACCGTGACGATGAACGGGCTGATGGTCATTGTAATGGCGGCGGCGGCGGCTCTGTGTGCAGACGTCTCTGTCAGTCTTACTTCAACCCACACCGAAGGTTCCTATTATACTGTTATTAATGTTTACTGTATTATACTGTATAACATTTACAGAACAATTCACTTTGTACATTTTAATACACCGAGTGTTCATGAAGGTTCATAGAAATATAAATGTAGAGCGTAAATCTATAAAAACGTGAATAGAAACTTCTTTGTGTTGTCGTCGATCAGAACAGGAAATCCTTAACGCTCTGAGAGGTCTCAGCCGCTCATCCATCGAGCCAGCAGCAAAGATTTCTAGGAGTTTATGTGGTGAAAAGGAGCAATCTGCTGATGGAAAGTTCCCAGGGACAGGATGGAGGATGTGTGACCTCCTCCGTCCTAAAACCATCGCTAAACGCCAAGACGGGAACTCGTACAACCTGAACTCCTTCGGTCTAAGATACGGGAAGAGACAGCACTCCTGATTTCTCCTCGTTTTCATTTCATCACCTTGAATATAAATGAATAATGTGAGTGGCTGAACAATAAAATCTCAGATTTTAAACTGTGTAATGTGTCATCACCCCACTTCAACAGATTTATTCTTTTTTTTTTAATGATTATTTTATATACACACATATATATATATATATATATATATATTATATTTTTGGGCTTTTGGGGCCTTTAATTGAGAGATAGGACAGTGGATAGAGTCAGAAATGGGGGAGAGAGAGTAGGGAATGACATACGGGAAAGGAGCCACAGGCTGGATTTAAACCCGGGCCGCTAGCTTGGAGGACTATAGCCTCGGTACACAGGGCGTGCGCCACCAGCGCCCCCGCACTTCAACAGATTTAATCATGATTTTATTAAAAGTTGTCTTGAGATGAATTTAAATGAAATCTTTGTGTCGTGAGTCTGACTCAAGGTTTTTATTTTGACAAAAATTGAATAAATCTTTATTTATCTGTTGATTTATGTTTGAGGCATCAACATTAAAATATTCGTTGAATTGTCTAAAACTCTGTGAGTTAAATATTTATAACCGATCAAACGCGATTTTAAATTTCAATAGAGAGAAAATATTTAACAGGATTTTCACCACAAACCGAATTTAAAAAGTCTCAGCAGATCGTCAGCATCACTTTCGAAATTTGGCTTTAACTTTAATTTAATCTCTGTTTCAACTTTTGATTTGTAATCTTTGTGATATGATCTTTAAGTCTCAGACTGGCTGCAGTCAAATGGGGGCCCTTAGGGAGGTTTCCTACTGTCATTGCAACAATTGTACATTTTGAGCCACTGCTGTGGTTTAAAGTTTGTCAGCCCCCTACTGGCCTGAGGCCGACACACATCCAAACATAACCTGCTCCTCAGCAGGTCAGGTGTTCAACATGCGTTACCATGGTGATCTACCCAGGTAAGATGTGAACCACCTTCATAGTCCTGAGAACTCCATGGTAACCAAAAGTCCTGCTGGGTCTGTTTGTGTCAGACCACCTGTCCAGGTGTAACCTGACTGAAGTAAAGTTTCAAAACAAATCTGAATGTAAAATTCATTTTAATATCTAGATTTAAAAACATTCATACACATTATAATTTGACTCTGGTGTCACACAAGGTCTGAAGATTCAGAAATCAGCATGCAGACGAGTAGGTTAAATATTTATAAATCATTATTTTATTTGTCTGATGGTTTTGAATGTAAACTTATGAAGGGTCAGGGGTTAGGGGGTTAGGGGGTTAGGGGTTAGCAGGTAAGCGTCACTTCTCCTTCTTCATGGCTCAGACCATCGACGAGCTGCTGGGAAACATCTGAAACACCAGAAACCAGATTTCAATCTGTGTTCTTCAGTAAAAATAGTTTTATGTTCTTAATGTGTGTTTGTGTGGGAACAGGACTCACCGCATTAAGAAACGGGATGTTGACAGCTGACAGCACAAAGCTTAGCGCCATCGGGAAGAATGACCTGCGGCGAGATACGAACAAACGTATTTAAGCATTATGAGAATAATAACATAAATCTAGACTTTATTATTATTACATGAAGTGAATCTTCGTCTGTGACTGACCTGAATAAAAGCACAAAGCCATAACTCTCCACTAGGATGCCGATGATTGGCCAGCGGCAGAGCACCAAGGCCACGCCCCCCAGGAAGAAGAAGGAACCTCTAAATTTGTGTCTCTGGAAGAAGAATTGAGCCGTCCTCCTCACGCCCACGATCAACATCAGACCACTCAGGAACAAGACCTATAAGAGACGAGACCTGACCTTAAAGAGACCCCTCAGGAACAAGACCTGACCTTAAAGAGACCCCTCAGGAACAAGACCTGACCTTAAAGAGACCCCTCAGGAACAAGACCTGACCTTAAAGAGACCACTCAGGAACAAGACCTATAAGAGACAAGACCTCACCTTAAAGAGACCGCTCAGGATCAAGATCTGACCTTAAAGAGACCCCTCAGGAACAAGACCTACAAGAGACGAGACCTGACCTTAAAGAGACTCCTCAGGAACAAGGTCTGACCTTAGAGGGACCCCACAGGAACAAGACCTATAAGAGACGAGACCTGACCTTAAAGAGACCACTCAGGAACAAGACCTACAAGAGACGAGACCTGACCTTAAAGAGACACCTCAGGAACAAGATCTGACCTTTAAGAGACCCCTCAGGAACAAGGCCTATAAGAGACGAGAACTGACCTTAAAGAGACTCTTCAGGAACAAAATCTGACCTTAAAGAGACCCCTCAGGAACAAGACCTATAAGAGACTAGACCTGACCTTAGAGAGACCCCTCAGGAACAAGAACTATAAGAGATGAGACCTGACCTTAAAGAGACCCCTCAGGAACAAGACCTATAAGAGACGAGACCTGACCTTAAAGTGACCCCTCAGGAACAAGACCTATAAGAGACGAGACCCGACCTTAAAGAGACCCCTCAGGAACAAGACCTATAAGTGGCAAGACCTGACCTTAAAGAGACCCCTCAGGAACAAGACCTGACCTTAAAGAGACCCCTCAGGAACAAGACCTATAAGAGAGAGACCTGACCTTAAAGTGACCCCTCAGGAACAAGACCTGACCTTAAAGAGACCACTCAGGAACAAGACCTATAAGAGAGAGACCTGACCTTAAAGAGACCCCTCAGGAACTACATCGAGGAGAAAGTAGATCTGACCTTGGGAGTTACGTTTATATTCTTTGTATCAAAGGATTGAAACACAGCAGAAAACACTTAATGTTTCAAAAAGTCAAAAAGAGAAGTATCATTTAAGGGCTGATGGCAAAGTGGTTAGTTTGAGCACCCCATGTACAGACGCTATTGACTCTGAGAGCGGGCAGCCTGTTTCCCATTTCGACATGTGGCTCCTTTCCTGCATGTCACTCTCTCTCTCCCTGATTTCCTACTCCATCCAATGTCCTGTCTCTCAAATAAAGGCACCAAAACATATTTAAAAAAACATTTTAAAGAAGTTTTTGTTAAAGTGTACTTACGTTCCCAAAAGCCAGCAGGACTGAATCAAAGTACAACAACACACCAAAGAGCAGGAAGAACATCCCGAACCCCATCAGTCCCATCCCTATCTCTGTAACAGAAAATCAATCAATCTATCAATCAGACGATCAATCAATCAATCAATCAATCAGACAGTCAGTCGATTAATCAATCAATCCTTCCATCCACCCATCCATCCATCAAATATTTTATTAAAGAAATCTTGCTATTCTAAGTGTCATGAACTCATCCATCTGTTCTGTCTGTGTTCCTGATCTATTGAAGACACTTTCGAAAAAACACAGTCTTGATCTGTCAAATTATAATAATAATAATATCTTTATTTATATAGCACCTTTAAAAACAAATGTTTACAAAATGCTGTGACAGACAGAGCAAATACAGCAAAACAACAACAGAACAGAGATCAACAGAGAGGGCAAAAATGCAAATAACAGGAATAATATCGAGTCAACAGGCAGGTAATTAGTTTAAAATCAATCAGGAGAGAACAAAATTAAAATTGAGGGAGAGTGGGACGACATCACATCACAGGCTGTAAACACAGAATGAAGATAAAAAGAAGGGATAAACGGGACATTGGTTAAATGAATAAAGCAACAGAGAGCTGAAGAGTTAAACGATAAAAGGAGTAGGAATTTAAAAAGAGCAGTAAAATGAATACAGGAAGGGATACATATAAAGGCTAAAACATTTAAAGAAGAGAAAGATAAAAAGGTTAAAAGCAATAAAATTAATAAAAGGAAGGGATAGATCACATAAAATCACATAAAAGCAAGTCTGTAAAAGTGAGTTTTAAGAAGTGATTAAAAAGATGCCACTGACTCTGCCCGCCTTATAACCTGGGACAACTTGGGACAAATTTCTAAATGGACCTTTAGAAAAATGATTCTGGTTCTGTTACAGGATTCTGTCTGTTCAACATGAGTCTGGTTCTGCTCCAGGTTTCTGCCTGTTCATCATGAGTCTGGTTCTGATCCAGGTTTCTGCCTGTTCATCATGAATCTGGTTCTGCTCCAAGTTGTTACAGGTCTCAAAGGCAGTCTTTCCTCTCCACTGTAACCTTGCTAAATGTTGCTTAGTGCTCGTGGAGTATTAATGTTGGATCTTTGGTTATACAACAAAGAGTTTGTTCTATTTGCAAAGTATCTGCATAGCTAAACAAATGAAGATTGATGAATTGATTGAGTAATAAATAACACAACACGTTTACAGTGTAACACTTACTCTGCAGCTCTGTGACCACAGCCATGATGACAGTCCTCCCGGCCTCTGGACTGTCCCCCCGTGTGTGAGTCTGTGATAGGTGTATAAACCTCTTTCTCTCAGGTATAATCGATTCTCTCAGGTATAATTGTTTCTCTCAGGTATAATCGTGTCTCTCAGGTATAATCGTTTCTCTCAGGTATAATCGTGTCGCTAATGTGTGAGGGAGTCTCTCTCGGGTATGTGTGTCTGTAAAGGTAAAACTGTGTGTCTCCTCCCTCAGTTTTGACCTTTGTGCATTAATGCTGTCAGAGTGTGATCATTAACCTGAGCAGGCGCACAATGACCCAACTGAGTGATGTCATCAGTCACAGATGTATTGAATGTATTTAACTGTTATCAGGTGTAAATTTCCTGGTTAGTTAAAATTTATTCAGAGCTTCAATCAAACCCAGCACAGATAAAAGGTAAATATCTTCTTCAAGCCTTAATATAATGTATACTGGTGAGTTGTATAAACATTCAGCCCATACAGTTGAAGAGAGAAATAAGCTCTAGAGACCCAAACTGTTTTTATACCAGACTGTAAACATGTTTATTTTAACGTGGGGCCCTAAGGGGACTGACTCACTACATGAGACAGACTCTGGTGGACACTGGAGGAACTGCAGCTGTAAAGTTTGTCATTTTAACATGGGGCTCTATGGGGACTGACTCAATGCAGGAGACAGACTCTAGTGGACACTGGAGGTACTGCAGCTGTAAAGTTGGACATTTTAACATGGGGCTCTATGGGGACTGACTCACTGCAGGAGACAGACTCTCAATTCAATTCAATTCAATTCAAAAAACTTTATTTGTCCCCCGGGGGGCAATTCTAGTGGACACTGGAGGAACTGCAGCTGTAAAGTTGGACATTTTAACATGGAGCTCTATGGGGACTGACTCCCATCGCCCCCTGTGTTTAGTCTCTGTGTTCCTTCTCTTATATTGGTCGGTAATCCTTATGGTCCTTGTGTTTTTGGAGGGGGCGGGATCGGTTGGTGACAGCGGGCAAGGGGAGGAGTATGTTGGTGACAGCGGGCAAGGGGAGGGGTATGTTGGTGACAACGGGCAAGGGGAGGAGTATGTTGGTGACAGTGGGCGAGGGGAGGGATCTGTTGGTGATAGCGGGCAAGGGGAGGGTATGTTGGTGATGGGGAGGGAGGGTATGTTGGTGATGGGGAGGGGAGGGGTATGTTGGTGATGAGGGAGGGAAGGGGTATGTTGGTGATGGGGAGGGAGGGGTATGTTGGTGATGAGGGAGGGAAGGGGTATGTTGGTGATGGGGGAGGGGAGGGGTATGTTGGTGATGAGGGAGGGAAGGGGTATGTTGGTGATGGGGGAGGGGAGGGGTATGTTGGTGATGAGGGAGGGAAGGGGTATGTTGGTGATGGGGAGGGGAGGGGTATGTTGGTGAGTAGTCATCATTCAGGCAGCAGAGGTCAAACAAACACTGGAGGAGTCAGAAGCTTCTAGAGAAACACTTGGTTTGTTTACATTCACTTTATTGCAAGCGTCATATTATTTGTCTGTTTTTTAACATTTGCATAGATCAAGCAGTTTGTGTATTTCCCCCAGAGGAGCAGTGGTTACATGTGCAGATATACTGGAAAACATTATGTACACTGGTTACACTGAACAGATGCTACATGTGGTATCAAAGATGAACTCTTCTTCGAGCTGTCTGTCTGCAACACGTTCAAAAAGATCCAAAAATATCAAAGTTCTGCCGTCGTAGTGCCAGTGTTCCTCAAACACGCCCCCTGTGTGAAGAGCGTCAAACTGAACCCCGAGTATAAACCTGTCTTCAAATCTCCATGCAGCTAAAAAAATACTCCCTGGCTCTGCAGACACGTTCCCTTCTTACAAAACTCAAACAAAAATAGACGTTTTCTCTGAAATCCTGTTTGCACATAAAATGAACGCCGTCACTGCGCCCGCCTCAGACCGGCGTCCGAGTCAGAAAAACTTTATTTAAACTTTATTTCGTACATGAGGGGGGAGGGGCTCCGAGTCTGAACGCTTTCTACAAACAACATGACCGACTGAACGACATTGAGGCAGCAGAGATATACGTAACAGGTTGTGTGTGTCTGTGTGTGTGTGTGCGTATGTGTGTGTGTGTGTGTCTGTGTGTGTGTATGTGGAGGGTCAGAATGTTTACATCTGGAGGAAGCTTCAGCAAAGAGATGACCTTCACACTAACAGGTCCTCAAACTGAGAAATTAAATCAGATTCTGATTAATTATTCCTTAAAAACACATTTCAGTGAAACTTTGATCGATGGCTGCAGTTCACAAATTAAAAATATACGAAACAAAAAACTCAACAGGGCATTTTATTAGAGAAGTCACAGACATCATGCAGCGCTGCAAGTTCTGACTCTGCATCGGCCATTTTTACTTTGAAGAGCTTTTAGTTTCTCATACAAAGTCCGGCCAGTGGGGGGCAGTGTGGGGCTAATCTCAGTCCACTGCTGCATTCAGGGGCAAACAGCTGTTGAACATCTGTCATCTGTGGTGACCAGAATGCATGAAAGGGTTAAATATTTGTGTAGTTTGTTTTGAAATACGGGAGCCCGGAGGGATGAATTCTGAAGAGTTCCTTAAAGTTTAATTTGACTTTGTGATCATTGTGTATAAAAACATTTCTGCTGGTTAAAAACATTTTCACGTAAAAAAAAACAACTAATTTTAGCATTTTATTTCAGCCTCTAGTGGCTGAATTGAGTATTACAACAAGAAACACTGATTTAATTTATTTATCAGACAAAATCATAAACATCAGAAATAAATCCTTTCAGAAGAGAATGAACGTGTTTTCATCGTGTTCTGATCCAGATGAATGATTTATAGTCGTCTGTAAACATCGATCTTATTTAACGCTGACTGCTCGAGCTGCAGCTCCTCCAGAGTTCAGGAGATGAATAAACGTCAGACGAATGGCACTGCATGAGTTCAGGAATAGAACGATATGATAAACAACATGTCTTCTAAGGTCACTTCTAGTTTCACTTCCACAGATCCAACGTAATCACTTTCTAACCTACGCTTTACAAACGCACACGACCAGCGGAGGGTCCGACCACCACTACGACCTTTGAGATGGTTCTAAGAAGAATCGAAAACACGGGGACGTTTGGGTAAAGGTCCGTGTCATTTAGAGAGCTTCAGCACTTTTTGATTCTATCGATCCATTAAAGAAAAGAGCGTTTGAAAACTTGTGGTATAAAAAAGAATCAACGTACCGAACACATAAACAGCCTTGATGGAAGGGGGAGGGGCCTGAGTGCTGTCATGACGACCCACAAACAAACATACAGAGAGAGGAGCTGCTCACTTAGAGGACCCCTCTGATATAAGGGAGTGAAAAAAAACCCAGGTGAACCAATCAGAAGAGTCGGTGTATACAGATAAAAAAACGAGCATTTTACTGGGATGGGTGGTGGTGGGAGGGCGGGGGGGGGGGGTGGTGGTGAAACAGATGTCACAGTGAGTTCAGGTAAGTCATTAGATCTATACACACGATGAGAGGTTTCACTCTGAGGGTCTGAATCTCTAAAGAGCTGCTTGTATTTAAATGATCCGTTATTCAGTCATTTGGGGAGCAATCATCTCTTTCTCTGTGAATCAGCCTCATTGTAAAAAGAGGCTAACTCACCAACAGGGGTCGCTAACAGCTACGCACAGTTAGGCTGAGTGTAAACATGGTCGTCTGCTGAGAGTTGGCGGTAACTGCACCGCATTATTTATCAGAGATGTGACGCTCAAACACTCCAGAGATCAAACCCTCCAGAGACCCTCAGACTGAGCCCCCTCCTCTCTCTCCAACATGAAATGATCATGAAACCTTCATGGTCCTCGTCTTCTTTAATATGTCCTCCTTGTTCTTCTCCCGCCTGGTCCTCTCACATGCAATACTCCCCGGATCCATCAGACCTCAGTTCTCAGAGTTTAAAACACGCCATCATCAACACAGTGACCTAGCAACATCTGTAATCTTTGTGTCCTGAGCTAAATGGTGAATCACACAGCTGGTCAATCTGCAGCCTCACACAGTGGGAGACCGTCAGGGTTGGAGGGATCAGAGGTTATTGTGTGTATGTGTGTGTGTTGGGGGGTCAGAAGTCCTTTAGCTTCTTGATGGGTTTGTAAATGTACCCCAGTGCTTCTGTTGAGTCAGTTTAGGTGCTAAAGAAAATAAAAAGTCTATCTTTCTCGTTCAGTTCGTCCAGTGGTCCTCAGAAAGACGCCCCATCAAACTTCACGGCCGCCAGGGCTTGAGCTACAAAGATAGAGGGAGGAGAGGGAGAAAGAGAGAGAGAGAGAGAGGAGAGAGAGGAGAGAGAGAGAGGGAGAGAGAGGAGAGAGAGGAGAGAGAGAGAGAGGGAGAGGGAGAGAGAGGAGAGAGGGAGGGAGCGAGAGGGAGAGAGAGAGAGGGAGAGGGAGAGAGGAGAGAGAGAGGGGGGAGAGAGAGAGGAGAGAGAGGAGAGAGAGAGAGGAGAGACAGAGGGAGAGAGAGAGAGGGAAAGAGGAGAGAGAGAGAGGGAAAGAGGAGAGAGAGAGAGGGAGAGGGAGAGAGAGGAGAGAGGGAGAGAGAGAGGAGAGAGAGAGAGGAGAGGGAGAGAGAGAGAGGGAGAGAGAGAGAGAGAGAGAGGGAAAGAGGAGAGAGAGAGAGGGAGAGAGAGAGTTATTATAAATTATAGAACTCATCAAATGTAAACATTTATAGTATAGTTTTAGCTTCCTGGCTCTTAGCTTAGTTGAAGCCTTCTACCAGCTGAGCGGACAGAAAACATCTCCAGTTTACAAACACATCCTTATATTCTTTGGAAGGTGTTTGTGGTATAAGCAGGAACATGTCCAAACAGGGGTTCAATATCAGGACTGAACAGACTCCAGATCATCTAAACTCCTGATAAAAGACGTCTGATCGAGCAGTGTCCTTGATGTTATCACTGCTGCAACAGTCAGTGGTTTTTATTCACATCAGAGCTTTTAAACCCGTAAACATGAACAGAACGTGCGCTATCATGAAGCTCACGAGGAAATCAGGAGAGAGAGGGAGAGAGAGAGAGGAGAGAGAGAGAGAGAGAAGAGAGAGAGAGAGAGAGAGAGAGAGAGGGAGAGGGAGAGGGAGAGGGAGAGAGAGAATTATTATAAATCATAGAACTCATAAAATGTAAACATTTCTGGTATAGTTTTAGCTTCCTGGCTCTTAGCTTAGCTGATTGAGCATTGTCCTTGATGTTATCACTGTAGCAACAGGAAGTGGTTTTTATTCACATCAGAGCTTGTAAACCCGTAAACATGAACAGAACGTGCGCTATCATGAAGCTCACGAGGAAATCAGGAGAAAAAGCAGCAGAGGGGGGAGGGGACATGGTGTGGTGGTCGCACACTCACCTGGTAGGACTCACACCTTCATGATGTGGGCAGAGTTTGGGAGGTCAGCTGAGGAAGGGGGAGGGGCCAGGCTGGTCGGGGAGGTGGGGGGGCTGGGGACGCACTGGGCTGGAATGAGATGGAGGGAGGAGGAAGAGGAGTGAACGGAGTGAAGCAATCAGAAAGACAACACTGAGGAAGAGGACGGACATCTGAGGACCTGTTCATGTGGTTTACCTGGACGCCATGTATCCTGATGATACATGTCCATGTGAGACTGTGCAGTCCACCTGAGACTGTGCACAACCAGCAGGTAAGACTGAGAGTCCACCTGAGACTGTGCACAACCAGCAGGTAAGACTGAGAGTCCACCTGAGTCTGTGCACAACCAGCAGGTAAGACTGAGAGTCCACCTGAGACTGAGCACAACCAGCAGGTAAGACTGAGAGTCCACCTGAGACTGTGCACAACCAGCAGGTAAGACTTAAAGTCCACCTGAGCCTTGTCTCAGGAGACCCCTGGCCTCCCTCATGTCTAACAGGGATAGTGCCCTGCTGTGAGGTGCATGTCTGAAGAACCCGATCAGGAGAATTTAAGGAGCAGTCCTCCTGAAACGATCTAGAAATTTCCAGCAGACATAATGTGATTGGTCCTGTGTTGGGCCTCAGCCATGTGTGCTGGACAAAGGACTCAGGACTGTATCACAGTTCTCAAGCCTGACTAGAGTTATTTTGGAGGGAACTAAACAAAGGAGTCTTAGCCCAGCACCCCCCAACAACAACTAACAAATAGGTGTGAAAAGTGTGTGTGTGGGGGGGGGGGGGGGGGCTCCTATTGGCTAACATAAATTAAACTCCAGAGCTGAGGTTGCTCAGTCTAGGTAACTTTTCACATGCTGAATTCAAGCATCAGAGGATTCAGCTGACTACTTCCACGGCATATTTTTAAGAGTTTTGGGTGCAATCAGATGCTATCAGGTTCGAGAAAAAAGAAGAGTTTCTTTCCTTTGATTTTTCGTAAGACGTCATTGAACACAACTGGACAGGAGCGCTGAAGAAAGCCCACTGATCCCTGAATCCGCAAGGACACATAAAGAACTCGGCTCCTGCAACCAGAAGACCCTATAGAGCAGTGCTCTGGTCGAAGATCTGAATCCCGCTACCCTCCTCCTACATCTGCCATGAAGGAAACCTGCCTGAATCTGTTGATTTAATATTCAACAGAGTGGAGATCCAACCAACTTTTCAATGATCACCCGGAGTTACCCCAAGTAAGAGCTTTGGTCTGGGCAGAAATAGTTTCAGAAATAGTGATGTTTCTTTTATAACCACTGATAATTATGCATCATTGTTGACAAGACGTCACATTCTGTTTATTATCTGTTGTAAGCTGCTGCATCTGTTTTATTGTGATGAACCGCCGTGTTCGCCTATGTATGTAATGCTATGCTAGTTTACCTTCAGTCAACGGCTTTCACAAACAGAAAGACCAGTGTACCCGCCGTTGAATCAAAGTCCGGCCACTGGTTTTCTGGTGTTTAAGTAACAGTTACTGAACTCAGCCACATGTTGCATTGTCTCTCTCCACTATCTTGTTCTCTCTCCCTCCTCTCTCTCTCATCCACACACACACACACACACACACACACACACACACACACACACACACACAGATAACTACACTTTTACACCTCATTCACAAGTTTTGCTTGATAATGTTTGTTTGCTTAGATTAGTTTGTAATAGTTATTTATTTGATTAAGTTCATTGATTTTGGATTGATGTTGCAATAGCTTAAATAAATTCTGTTATAATTTAAGAGAGCAGTTGTTTGTGATTACTGGTTTATTTGCATTGTGATATAAGCTGGATGCGAGGGCTTTGTGTACAGATTTCCCGCCTTCAATTTATTAAATACAGTTGTTAATTATTAATAATATTAGTAATTAAGTTACTAATTTGAGACTGATTTTAGTGATATTTTGGTTTCCACTTTTCAGGGTGGTGCCCCTGAGTCAATTAAACGTAGTTTAATAACATTGTTATTTATTTTAATAATTAATTAAAGCTAATTATTAATAATATAACCAAATTTGACTAGATAAAACCCCAACACACCTGTATGTAGGTCCTCATGTTAGACCTGTATGTTCATGTCACACCTGTCTTGTGTTTCTGAGAATTTTTGGTTATAAACTCAGAGAATGACAGAAACAGCTCATGCTTCAGCTGCAGTGTTCATAGGGTTAAACAGATCCATGTGTCTCTGCTGAATATGAGAGGATTAACATATGATGACATCATGACTTCATGTAGTGAAATACTGAGCACCTGGTCTACATATATTATCATTCATAATACAGCTTTAACATGAACATGAGCTGAGTAATGAAGGAGAGAACATCATATTTCATCCTTGTGAAATCCTTGTGACGATCCACTCCTCAGTTTACAGTGTTGGCTGTAATAACATCTAACACTTCGCCTGCTGAGCTCCTGGAGCACGACCACAGACTGAAGTGGAGGAGAGTTCAGCAACAGAGCTGACAGGAGACCTTCAAACTCTCACAGACGAGACGAGATCTGGCTCACAGCTGCAGGTACTGGGAGCAATGAGAGCAACCTGTGTGTTTTCATGGATTATGTGTTCACACGGACTCCTTCTTTTCCAAACCCTCAGTAAGGTTTTTATATCTCAGAACAATACACAGTGACTACTTTAAACCAACCCAAAACTGTCCCAAGCAGCCAAAGTGATATCTTCACTTTGGAAAACGTCAGTTTGTTTATTTCCACAAGGACTAAAATAATCCACAAAACAACGTTTCCTGGACCTGAAATAAGGATACGACATGAAGCGGTTCAATCCAAAACCACGATAACACTCTGACACGGTCAAACACTTGTTTGCTTCCATCACACCTGATTCCAATTACCTGAAGCCTTCTCTTTATGCCGAGCATAAACCAAGACTGCACCTAAGGGTCAAAGCTGGATTTACAACCATAATACAGAATCCCACAGTGTGAAAGAAAGATGGGAAAAGAGAGCGTGAGCGAGCAAGAAGCCGGACTAGAGGAAATATTGGACAGAGAGCTCCAAGTCTGAAGCCGAGCTGGGTATGTCAATACACTATCTGTTTTATGACAGTGCAGTTACACTCATACCTGTAGTGGGTGAAAAAGTGCACCAACAGAATCCCTCCATCGTGATGGTTTAAAGGGTCTCACACAGATTTAAAACACAACAAACACAAACACACACATTTAGTGGACCAGATGTGCTTCACGTCACACAGTTTAATCTGACCATTGACCAACCTTTTGATTAAAAACAACAGTACGTTCCTGTACTGAGAGATTTGGTGACATCACGGGTCACAGGTGGTATTACAGAAGCTTGTCTGTCAGAGATTCAACGAGGAGAAAGGAGCCAATCAAATCACAAGGAAGCCAAACAAGCTCCGCCTCTTTAAAGTCATGACACTTGTAAAGCGGTCTGTTTGTGTCACTGTTTATGATCAGGTCCTGTCAGACTCATCACGTCACACAATCCTTTGATCACAGCAGAACAGCTGGTGAGTCAAATGTTTCATAACCAACCAAGAAGAACAGCCAAGTCAACAAAAACTACCTGAAAAGTAAAGTTTGTCAATGAATTCCCTCCATGAAAGTCTGTGAGGATGCAATGCTAAAATAATCATTTATAAACATTTTAATTGACCTGTCTTTGGCACAGTTTGGATTTAAAATCACAAAGTAGAGCATCAGAGCAATTAGCAGTGGTTAGCGTTGGTCAGCAACAGTTAGCAGCAACTGGAAGTAGTTAGCTGCAGTTAGCAGCTGTTAGCAGTAGTTAGCAACAGTTAGCAAAAGTTAGCAAAAGTTAGCAGTTAGCAGCAGTTGGCAGTAGTTAACATGCAGTTAGCAGTAAGCAGCTGTTAGCAGATGTTAGCGGTGCAGGGTCAGTGCATGCCCATGGTGTCCCTGCAGCGGAGTGGAGAGGGTCCTCACCAGACAGAATGCGGCTTCGGCGAGACGCCTCAGCAGCCAGAGCGCAGGAGATTTCGATTCTCTTCTCCTGCTCCTGCAGCTGCTGCTGGGAGGTAACGGGAGCTACGCCCTCCACGGGACCGTCCAGCACAGGAACCATGTTCTGCAGACTGATGGAGGAAGGATGGAGGAGAGGCCGAGATACAGACAGAAACAGAGAGAGAGATTTTATTAAGGTTATAATTAAAGGGATACTTCACCCATTTGCATTAAGCTTTGTATCATTAGAAACCTGGTAGTATTTTTGAATGGTCGTGCATCCCAGCCTCATTTTCCCCTGAGATGGGAAATCTTTGTTTTTCTGAGTCTGGAAAGGAGCTTCCAGTGACGCAAAATTATGATTTTTGCGTCACTGGAAGCTGCTGTGGTTAGCGGGGTGAAACTACAATGCTAGTTCCTCATATTTTTGACCACTGAAGCTACAGACCAATCACAGATCAGTGGGTGGGAACTAACTCCCAGAATCGAAACTTAACGTCCGCCTTATTGCTTGGAAGCTATGCTTACAGGCTCTATGGAGAAAGCTGATAATGGCAAAAAAATATAAATATAGCGGCGAGACGGCTGCTGCCGACAGGCCGGTCTTGTGTTTGGGCTGCTTCAGCCGCTGGCTACTTTTTGATTAAAATAATAGAGCGTGTCAACCTCAGTGATATTTCAGAGAGAATACAGTATCATCTGCATAAAGAGAGATCAAGTTGTTTAAGTTAATGATGGTTTGAACTGATTGTTTATAAGATGTGTTTTAATGCTAAAATGAGCAGATATAAATCCAGCAGACCTTGACCTCTTTATATTTAAGTCTTTCAGATGGAAACGCTGTTAAACAGGGGAAAGCACGTCGTCACTTTCACAGGTTTCATCGTGTCTTTTGATGGCCTATAAAAAGCTTTTATTTAAAAACAGAGTTTGTCTCATAAAAATACATTTTCTGTGTTTGAGTCAGATCTGAGTTACTTTAGGACAAGATTTCTAAAATAATAACGCAGATTAAATAACGTGATGTTTTCTTCTCCATGATTTGTCTTCACGCTAAAAACCTCTAAAATCAGGTTGTCTGACTTCTTTTTCTTATGAATGAACTAAAAGTCAGTCTTCACATTTAAATATTAACTTATATAATTTATGGATTCGTTTCAAATTCAGATTTGATTTTTTTTTGTTACATTTTGAGGTCTTCACCAGCTCTGTGTTTTCACCGCCATCTTTGTAAATCAAGTTTAAAACTTCTGAATTTGATTGAAAACAGTGTGACATTAGAAACAGTTCAGGGACAGACAGGTAGCAGGATTGTTCTGGAGGAGAGTTTGGTATTTAATATGAGAACACTCTGAAATAAACGGACTTTGATTTGGCGATGAGCGTCTTTATCCTCTCCAGCTTCTTCTGCTTCTCCTTCTGCTCCTCGGGGCTCAGAGGAGTGTCATCCTCCACGTCCAGGTAGCGCTCCGGGATCAGGACTTTATCAGGAGCCATCAGCTACAACAAACATGACGACTATACATGAAGATAGATTCACACAGACGGAGGCCGTGTGCACAAACAGACATAGAAACAACATGTGACAGAGAAACATTCACAGAGCGAAGCTGCAGCTCACTGATCTTACCCCCTTGCCGATGTCCAGCTCGTAGTGGTCCGGTTCAATCCGCAGCCGTCTCAGACGTGCGATTTCCTCCCGAGGTGACTCCAGACCCTGACCTCGAACCGCCGCCTCCAAGTCTTTGATGTCGATCTCGTGGGCCGTCAACCGCCGTCGAATCTGCAGACACACACAGTGCAGGTACTAAAAGTGTGTATTTGTGTTTGTGCTAAATCACTCCACAGAGGAGTAAACTTTCTCTCGACTTCAAAGAACCCAGGTGTCAGAGGAACAGAGAGATGAGTTTAAAGGGCTGGAAACAGAGAGGTTTGCACCCATAATGCTTTGTAGGAGGTGCCTCATTAGTATGCAAAGAGGCACAGGATCACGCCATTTTTAATGGGCAGCAGGGGTGGAGCCAATGGGAGGCCTACATCATTTGGTCTGTGTAGAAAGCAAACCAGAGAGGGGAGGGGGGGAGGGGGGAGGAGGGGGGGGGGACATGCAGGAGGCACCCAGACCAGGTTCAGATAGTGGATCGTACCACTTTGTAGTTGGCTGGAGACTGGCCACCTGACAGGTTAAGGCTCCGCCTCTTGTCCCTCACAGAGCTGCTCTGGTTCCGTCTGATTCGCTCATTCTGCTCCTCCACGCTCATCTTGGATTTGACCTCGGCAGTGAACACGGCGCTCTTTGGACGCTCCTGTGACAGACAAGGGGAGGGGACAGTCGTCAATGGATATTAAACAAGTTTAGCATCATGTTCACAATCAACAGGATTATTACATTACAGCAGCTCCTCCCTCTCTAACCACGAGAGCCAGCAGCTCCTCCCCCTCTAACCATCAGAGCCAGCAGTTCCTCCACCTCTAACCATTAGAGCCAGCAGCTCCTCCCCCTCTAACCATTAAAGCCAGCAGCTCCTACCCCTCTAACCAAGAGAGCAAGCAGCTCCTCCCCCACTAACCACGAGAGCCAGCAGCTCCTCCCCCTCTAACCATGAGAGCCAGCATCTCCTCCCCCTCTAACCACGAGAGCCAGCAGCACATTTACACTATGACCTTTAAAACAGAAACAATTTTAACATGCATCATAACCAGCAACTGTTAAAAACACAGTTAGAACCTGGATCAGAACCAGACTCTTGGATTCTTCACTCTTTGGGTGGTGTGTTAGCTTTGATTTGATTATTAAAGTTGAGTTCTTACCCTGGAGATTCCGTTCTGTGCTCGGCTGTTATACCGAGAAGCTCGAGCTGGTCCCATGTGTGACTCGTCTGTCGGTGACTTAGTTCTTGGAGGAACGATACCAACTGGCAAAGACACAAGATTATTAATTAATAACAGAAACTGAATGATAACCAATGATAATAGAGGGAGCAGAATCCTAACCCTAACTTTACAGAAAGTCAGAGTGAGCTGATGTGAGAACACAGCAGGATATAATCAGGAGAATTCACCTGGAGCAAGTGGGAGGGGGTGGTGACGTTTATTCCCTTTGATCGCTGCACGACCATAGACTGTCTGCACCCCACCTATACCATCTCCGTGCTCTAATGAACCTGCTGCATTATGTTTCCTGTTCTCTGGTATGTTCTTCTCCACTCTTTAGTTCAAATTGAGATTCTGTTCAACTACATGTAGCATTGATAGAAAGACACATATTCTCATTATAGAGTCATATGGAGGATTCTGTTTCTTTGTCCGCTAACGTCTTAGCGGACTTAGGCTCCTGCTGTGAGGTGCATGTGTGAACAGGTCAGGAGGATTTCAGAAGCAGTCATGAAGTGATCTAGATGCAGGAGTTTAGATGTGAAAACGTCTTTCGGTTGTCACTAAGGATACTGTTTGATACTATATCTCTAGTGCACATGCAGGTGGAGGTAAAGGCAAGTCTCTCTCCAGCCTTTTGAGTTATTTTCTGGATTATAATCAGCTGATAAGTGATCAGGAGGTCAATCACAGATTACCTGAAGCTTCTGTCCTACCTTTGTTCACGCTGGACTGTCGGTCCTGGAGCTGCTCCTGCACATCGCCCATGATCTGTTCTCCAAACTGTGAGACAGAAAACTGAAATCATTTCCCATAATGCATCTCATTATGCATGACTGTCTCCAGCCACGGGGCTGAACCAAGAATATAGAAACACACAGAGCTGATCAAACCAGCATGTTTTACAGAGACCATCCAGGTACAGGACGGGATGCTACCATTAGCATTAGAATGATTAGTCAGCTAGGACGGGCTAATGCTGTTTGTAAATTGTAACGCTCTGGTTAATGGGCCTGCTCTGTTGCTCTACTACCCAGATGTAAACAAGCACAGTAAAAAGAGAGCAGAGCTGTTTGTCAGTGTTTAGATCTATAACATGGATATAAAGCTGTATGTAAGCTGTGTCGGGTTAAACTGGGATATCGACCACGTTTAACCTGCAGGGACGACTGGTGGAGCTAGCACTGCTAATGTTAGCCACACTCTGCTAACCAATTGGACATTTTATACCTGCAGAATTAAACTAGACTAGTCGACTAGTCTGAATTTAAATTTGTGTCACTACAGAGAAGCTAGACACGTAGACACATGGAGAGTGGATAACTCCCAACAGGAAGCAGAAGTCAGAGCTTAGTTAAAGAAACACACACTTAATGTTTGAACATGCAGCTGGCAGAGTTTCTGTGAATAAGGCGTTGGAGGGAGAACACGGGGAGGTCATGTACAGCCTGTTATGAAAGAGAGATAATCAGGGGGATGATGGGGGGAGCTGTTGGACAAATGGAGGTTTGGATGGATGAACAACATGTGGAGTGAGGAACGGTCTCCTGGTGCTCATGAGGTTGAAGTGATGAATTTAAACAATGAAAGTGGACGACGGTTGGGATGTGGGTTAGAGCGAGGTCAGGACAGGCACAGAAACACCCAAATACCTTTCTGAAGAGACCATCTTCACCGTCTAGGTAACCTTCATCGATACCCAAGCTGTGCAGCCAGGCGGTGCTGTCAAAGGGCAGGGGGGGGATGGAGGGGGGGAAGGTGGAGGAGGGCTCCAAAGGGTAGTAAGACTTAGGGAGGGGAGGCCTTGGGGGGACGTTTTCCTAGACCACCATAAGGGTAGAGAGGAGGGAGAAAGGAGAAAGGAAAGGAGAGGAGGAAGAGAGAGTGCTGAGCATCAGGAGGAGTGATAACAAGCCAGGCAAAGAGCAGAGCAGAAAGGCATCATGGGAATGATTCTGTGGAGCTCATGGTCAGGAGTTAGATATGAAAATCACCCGGAGGACAATGAAAAACCACCGGTCTGCCTCTGTGGGTTCATGTTTTTATCTTCCCTTCACGGACTCCCTCTGCTCTGCGTTTATTATTATTAAAGAAACTTTTAAACGGCTCGATCTTATCTGTCTGACCTTTGAAAACCACATTTTAATCATGGATGCTCCGACCCTCTGATCAGTTACTTCTCACTGTCCTAAGGTCAAATGTGACGGATCTCTCTGAATGCTGTGCTCCACATGTTGGCCCTCCCCCACACTGCCTGGTTGTAAATCAGTGCTCCTCTCTTCCCCTAATGTCCTAAATCTTTTAGTAAAGAAGTTTCTGTTGTTTTTAGATTGGTCTGTACCAATAAGACGACAATGTGGCGCCAAGTAGGCTCCTCCACTGGTACACCTTTAAGGCCATTTTTGGTCTGCTTCCTCTCTATCTATGTGTTTTTATCATGCAGAGAAGTACCAGACAGTATTCTTTGTCTTCTCAGGACCTCTTTATGCTCTCTGTCCCAAACGCTCGGACAGAAATTGGGAAAAGGTCCTCTGGATATTCTGCACCCTCAGCCTGGAATCTACTGCAGAACGACTAAAAACTCAAGGAGCTGGTGTCCTTAAATGTTTTTTAAATCTAAAATAAAAGACATGGAAGCAGATTCTACAGGATGTTGATGTTTTGGCTCGACTGTTTGAACAACTGACTCCTAGATTTGATCATAGATGGTTCTATTTTAATGTAAGATTGAGTGTTTTGTAAATAGTACTTTGTTTCTTTGTCTCTCTCTAACTTTGTGATTTTGCTGCTGACTGTCTCGGCCAGGTCTCCCTTAAAAAAATAGGTTTTTGATCTCAATGGGACCAAACTGATTCAATATAAATAAAATAAAGTAAAATAAAAAGACACCAATCGCAGCCTTCTATGGAAGTGGCGCTGAACGAGTAACGCTTTTCTGGTTTTACTGCAGCGCTGAGTCAGACTCTGACCTTCAGTTTCAAACATGGCGGCGTTTTCAGGTCAGTACCACTACGTGTGTTTCCACTGGTCGTTATCACCAAACTGTCTCTGGATGCTACCACCTTCAGAACAACAGAAGTGCTGAGTCAGCTAAAGACCATGTTTGTTTTTGTACACATTGATGATGTGTTTTGTGGGTGGAGCATAACTGGTGGCAGAAGGTTAGTTAGCGGTAGCATTAGGAGACATCTTAAGCAGTATATTCTCTTTAAAGATGGGTCTCTACGTGGTGACAGAGCTGTGGAGGTGCAGCAGCTTCACCAGCTGGACATAGCAGCCAATGATCCAGCTGATGAGGGCTGACGCTCCTACAACACGAGGACGGGGGGCTGTAGGGTAGAGATATAATATCAGTGTGATAGGAGTCGTGGAGGAGCAGGAGCTGAGATTCAGGTAAAGAGAAACGTCTGTTAAACGGGTTTCTTACTGAGAGGGGACATGTTAGGGTCTCTGGATAGACCTCTTTTCTCACACCAATCTTTATGTCTCTGTCGCAAACATCTGAGTTTAAAGAGCTCACGTCCTGAAGGTCAGAGAGGGCTTGGACTCTATCTAAATGCTGATTGGTTGAGTCCTGACACTGTACCTGGAGTACACAGGTGTGGTCTCTGCAGGTCATGTTTGGGTCTGCCTCCTCGACCACAGGGTCTAGTCTACTAAAAGGCTCCCTGACCTCCTGGAGAGTGAGGCTGAGCGGGCGAACGTTGTCATCAGGGCTTTCATAAGGGTAGTATTTTATATGCTCTGTGGGCAGAGGGTTTGTGTAGCTGGGGGGTCTGCTCTGATGCAGAGGGTCTGTGTCAATGGGGGGTCCACACTGATGCAGAGGGTCTGTGTCAATGGGGGGTCCACACTGATGCAGAGGGTCTGTATTACTGGGGGGTCCACAGTGATGCAGAGGGTCTGTATTACTGGGGGGTCCAAAGTGATGCAGAGGGTCTGTATTACTGGGGGGTCCACAGTGATACAGAGGGTCTGTGTCAATGGGGGGTCCACAGTGATACAGAGGGTCTGTCCTAAAGTAAGGCAGTGTACAGGACAGTGGGCGGGGTTTAAGGTTTGATGTTTTCTGATTTCTGGGATCGGCTCTACAGTCTGAACATGGGCTTGTAGCAGGTTTTGAATGGGGATTGGTCCCCAGCTGGGGGTGTCCGGTACTTACCTCCGGGCCCAGCTGTTTGGTGGGGGAGGCCTGGGAGCCGGGCACAGGGGAGAAGGGGCTGAGCGGGCTGGTGAGGCTTACTGAGCTCAGGGGACTGGCTGGACTATTGGTACTAAAGGAGCCTGTTGCACCGCCGGCCACTGTGGAGGAGAGAGATAGTTTGAATACAGATATGAGAAAGCAGACACACATCTTCCACCTGCTCAGGTGTGTGCTACCTCTGTGCTTGGCTGTGTCTGTTCCTCTGGACGAGTTGTTCTTGTGCAGTCCCTCTAACACGTCCTGCACACGCCAAAACTCTTTCTGGATGTGCCGACGAACCAGCTCACTCTGCAAACGGAGTTGATGTAGAGAGAGGAGGTGAACTACCATCTATCGAACAGTTTAAAGGGTTCAAGTCCCTGTCCAATACATAAAGATACCAAATGACCTACAGGATTTAATGCCTCAACGAGTTGACTCACAAGAGTTCACAGATTCAGAAAAATCCTGAAAACTGTAAAAAGCTGTTTGACTAGCAAATGCAGCACAAAGTCAAAAACAAAGCTGGGGACCTCATTTCCTCTTCCTTTACTTCATCCATGAATCACGCTTATTATTCCTGCTGTGCTAAGAAAGCCTCCCTACATGGAACGGAAACAAACGTCCTCTGGTGGCCGTCCATTGAAGACAAAGAGATCCTCAGAACAGTTCTTATTCATGAGGGACAGATCCATCAGGATTCATTCCAAAGCACCTCTTTAGTGACCCCATAACACCGGTGGTATGTCGGACAGGTCTGTTGGAGTTTCTCTCACCATGAAATGTATTACACAAGCAAATCATGCAGAACCCCGTCTTCTTCAACATGCAAAACCAGCTTTTCTTTGAAATCATGCCACATAACCCGTTAAAAACATTTTTCAGACACGCAAGCTTTAAAGTCTTCAGTCAGTGTGTCCATGCATAGTGAAGTCCATCTAATGGTTCTAATGTGTTAGTCCCACTTCAGCTACGATCAGCTAAATTTAAAGCCCACTTTTTCTAATTTCATATAAACACACTGAGTGTTACCTCTACCTGTCCTCCTGCATTCAGCTGCTCCCACAGGTCTCCATGAATGGCGCTGGCCTCGTCCTCCAACGCTTCAAACTCCATACGAGTGGTGGTTAAAGCCTGAAGGAGGCACCAACACAAACACAACACACAGGTAAACAGAAGCTCCAAAGTGAGGCTCTCATTACAACCTTTTTATATTTCAGGCTGACATCTGATGATTTCTCAACTACCAAACCGGTTTTCTAAGATTGATGCAAAGGAGTACGGGGAGTTAGAGTGAAGTCCAGTTCAGACCAAAGATTCAGGATAAAACTGAAACTAACCAGAACTAAAATAACGATTATTCTATTCTATTGGATTGGACTGTTTTAAAACGGGCAGAGAAGCGGAGCAATATCAGAACCCATATTCAATCGAAAGCAGATGTAAGTCAAATGCAACGATTAAAAGGCGCTGCAGGTGAAAGGAAGGCACTGAGAAAGCCAACAGAAAAACAGCATTAAGACAAACGCTGAAAATCCAGTCTTCAACAGAAGTGCCCTAGACCTGTCGGGGGCGCTCAGTGGAACGGTTTATTACTGACAGGAGAAGAAGAAGTGAACGTTTTGTTTGAAGGGGAAAGAAGCATAACATTGAAAGCGACTGTGACTTGGACTCTGACAGCGGGGATGAGAGAGCTGAGGGAGCTCGGGGTCGGGTTAAGGGGAAGGGTAAACATTGGGACTCTGGACCACCTGGAGGTTGGAGTTATAAGGCTGGCGGGGGGAGGGTCCGGGCACCAAATAAATCCATGTCATTATGTTCAATGTACAACCCCCCCAGCTTTGAGAATGGGTGTCTGATGGGCTGATAGCACTGGTAAATTGGTCATTTAGCTAACTGTTATGTTTAATACGATGTTCATGCAGTTGTTTTAACTTTTTTCAGCACTTGTGATTGCACACGTTATTTCCGATGTTGTCGCTCAGTTGCCCTTATCCCTTACCTTATTAATACAAACAGTAAAATAAGTTTAGAAGCAGTCCCTCCTCCCTGACTCACGAGGCAAAGCAGCTAGATTTAAGTTTGAGCCCATCACACTGTAAAACTTTCAGGGTGAAGAGATGAAAACAACAGTTTCATTCTGATCACAGGTTGGATGGTGAACACATGGACTCTTACACTGGAGGCCTGCGAGAGCTCTCCTCGGATGTTGATGAGCTGGTTCTGCAGGGTTTCCTTTTTGTACCGCAGCTTCTCCATGGCCAAAGGTTGGGTGTGATACAGCTCCATTTCCTGATGAGTCACCACCAGCGCCTCCTCCAGGCTGTCCTGGGAACAACAAGGAAAAACGGAAGCGTTCATTGAAGTTTTTATAAAAGGCTTAAAACATGGACGATGAGTGATGTCGTCAGTGATGTCGTCAGTGATGTCATCAGTGATGTCATCAGTAATGTCATCAGTGATGTCATCAGTGATTGGAGGAGTTATGAAGCCCATTGATGGAGGTCGCCATGTTGGAAATGCTAACACTTCCTTACTTTGGATCAATCTAGAAACAGGTAAAGAGGTGGAGCTAAGGTGTAGCTTAAACCTCATCGACAAATAGCTACAACACACCCACCTGTCAGTCCAAGAGGCCACGCCCCCACATGTTTATGCTTAAGGTGAGAATGGGACTCCTTTTTTTCTTTAATGACTACTTTTTAGCCATGTGGACGACTGAAGGACTGCAGGTTTGTATTATTCTGTTTTGTCTTTAATATTTAACTTGGTAGGGTTGGAGTTAGGAGGTTGACACGTGGATTCACTCAGATGAGGCTTCAAAGCGGGCCTCAGGGAGATATCCCGTTAAGCCTCTGATTGACTTTGCTGGCTGTGACACCATTTGTCTTAAAGGTTGTATTAAAGCACAGATGGCTTCTTTGTTAACAGCATTAATGAGGTGAAGTCTAGAAGAGCTACCTTGTCCATCCTCAGTCTGTGGACCACAGCCTCGTGGTCTTTAAGGCTCCGGCTCTGCTCACACAGTCGACCCAGGAGTTTCTATATGAGACGGTAAGAGACGAGGCAATAAATCAGTGTGGCTGCATGCTTACACACTAAACACACAGATATGTCTTCATCTGCTGCTGTTTAAACTTCCAGCAAACAGTCAAACAGTGTGTTGGGTTAATCAGTGTTGGTGTGTTCTGATTGGCTGTCGGCCTCTCTTACGCTGGTTTCTATCTCGTTGAGCTTCAGCGTTGGGTGAAGCTCTCCTCTGTAGACGTCGTGGAACGGAGGCACCTGTGAAAACAAAGAATGAATAAAGGTCCAGCAGCGAGAGATTGACTGCTCCAGTGATAGCACAGATCTCTGATGTTGGTCTTCCTTCTGGGAATGTGCAGCTTCATTCATTATAAAGGAACCTCTGCCAACAAAGGAAGGAGTCTGTCGCAATGAACTGAGTGATCATTGTTGTGATCACAGGTTTCTCCTGTTCTGCAGCAGATGTCGGGTCATTACCATTATTCAAACATCTGCTAACAATCAGACGAGAAGACTCTGAGGAGGGTTGGGTTTGTTTCTGTGAACCTGAAACATCTCAGAAGCTCCGAGCTTCATGTCCCAGTAGGAAGAATCAGAAATATGTGTGTCAGGAGACGGAAGCATTAACAGATACGTGACGTCCAGTTTCCACCAAACATCCACTGAGTCCTCGACTCTGCAGGATGAACAGTGATGAACTGGAGGTGTTTGTTTGGTGGTCAAACGGACGCTACATGGAGAGTGAGGGTTTGTCTGGTGGAGGGTTTCTATCTCTCTTTTATTGATCTCTGATTGGTCGATTACCCACAGCAACAGTCTGCCGTCCCTCAAGGGATCACCGTGGTTAGGAACAAACCATTACTAAGAAAAGCAGGCAGTTGCTATGGATACAGCTCTGATCACAGACTCTGGAGGACTAACTGTGATCATAACAATCTGCATAAATAGTCCGGTTAGTTTGACGTCTGTCTGCTTTCTGTGGGAAGAAGGAGGCGATAATAACGGAGGATATAAGACGTAAACCTGAACGCTGACGCAGAAATCTACAAAACTGAAGATGGCCCATCACAACAAAGCTCATGTGACTCGTGATGTCTAACCCTAAACGCCCGTCTGTCTGATTGAGACGCAGCCGTAAAGGAAGCAGACATGAACCATTTCACACACAGTGTCCTCAAACAACATGTCTGACTAGATCTCCTTTAATAACTCATTCAGATAGTGGACCTCTGCATCGTGTGTCCTCACATTTAAAACATCACACATTCACTTTGGATTGGCTAAGGCCCTCATTTAAGTCCTCCTGCTGTGGCCCCCCCATAGCTCGTGAGCTCCATCATCACCTGACCAGTCAGAGTGTTTCAGAGGTGATGAGGCTCCAATCAGACGTCCCAACCAGCTCATGATTACACACAGAACCTGCTCCTGTGCTTCCTGGAACCTTTGGTCCACAGTAGATATGTCACTAGAGCACAGAAACAACAATCTCATCTGCTTATGTCTGCAAGGGTCCAAACATGTCAGGACCTCCACAGACCACCAGGGGGCTTCATAGAGGAGGAAGAATGGAGGAGGGCCCTTACTACCTTATTATTATGTTATTATAAACAAAGTCAGAGTCACCATACCATCGTTTTAAACTTTGGTAGGATTCACAAACAAGAATAATACCCCATGGCAAGAGTAGACGTTTCAGAAACCCAGTGTTGGGTCATTTATTGTTTTTTAAGATCAAATAATCTCAGACAAACTCCCTCAAACTGTCTGGACCACATTCAGGAGCAAAAAGTTGCCAATTTGGTAATTTAGTTATTTTGTCTGCAATTTGTGATGGACTGACTCGTCTCCCACACCGTCATCCTTCTTTTAGATAGTGTTGATCATTAACTCGTTAATGTAGTGGAGGTGTGGTTATAGTGATATCAGGGTTAGCCATGGCTTTCAGATCCTGGAGACGGCCCTTCTCAGTATTAATTTAGGACTGCACTGTGAGCAAACAGGGACATCAGGGTCTGTGAGGCCCTCATAGGTCATCTAAAGGTTCAGTCTGCAGGGTTAGGTGTAATGTGTCTTCAGCTCATCATGGTTCTGGCTGCAGGTGGATCTACGTGGACCCTTAGAGACATGAAGAGATGATGTGACACCTTCACAAAATCAAACACAGAGTGATGCAAGCTACAGACGAAGAAACAGTGATCACAGTCCCCACATCATGCACACGACACAAAGACTGAAGAAGAGAGGCAGGCTGGGTACAGACTGATCATCAGGGTTAGTCGGAGCCTGTCTCAGTCCAGCACATGGACTCTGGACTGGACTTCAGACCACAGTTTCATGTTAAAAAAAATGATGAGCAGAGAATCTCTTTCTCTCTCTCTGCAGCCTGCCTCCCTGTACCGTTGCTCCCTTGCTCGCCCCTCTCTTACTTGGACACAGAGCTTTGCTGCTGAGGGAGAGCGCTCCAACATTCTGGTTATCAGATGACTTCCGTCTGGAACCTGAGGATTCAGTTCACATTACACACACCTGACAACACGCTGATGTAACAGCAGGACTGACCCTAACCCTGAGCATGTTTTAAGGAAAGTGAAGAAGAAAGCATCCTGGACATCCTGTGGACTCATTCAACCTTTAAACGCTGTAATGACTTTGTGCTGAAGTGTTCCACGTGTGCAGGCTGGGAATCTCACTGACTGTTGATAGGTGTGTTACAAGTCTGTGGGGGTGTCCTGTTAACCAGGACGGTAAAAACAGCTGACGGGTGTGTGATGGTGAAACAGCTGACGGGTGTGTGATGGTGAAACAGCTGACGGGTGTGTGATGGTGAAACAGTTAACGGGTGTGTGATGGTGTTAAACAGTTGACGGGTGTGTGATGGTGAAACAGTTGACGAGTGTGTGATGGTGTTAAACAGTTGACGGGTGTGTGAGGGTGAAACAGTTGACGTGTGTGTGATGGTGTTAAACAGTTGACGGGTGTGTGATGGTGTTAAACAGTTGACGGGTGTGTGAGGGTGAAACAGTTGACGTGTGTGTGATGGTGTTAAACAGTTGACGGGTGTGTGATGGTGTTAAACAGTTGACGGGTGTGTGAGGGTGAAACAGTTGACGTGTGTGTGATGGTGTTAAACAGTTGATGGGTGTGTGATGGTGAAACAGCTGACGGGTGTGTGATGGTGTTAAACAGTTGACGGGTGTGTGATGGTGAAACAGCTGACGGGTGTGTGATGGTGTTAAACAGTTGACGGGTGTGTGATGGTGAAACAGTTGACGAGTGTGTGATGGTGTTAAACAGTTGACGGGTGTGTGATGGTGAAACACTTGACGAGTGTGTGATGGTGAAACAGTTGACGAGTGTGTGATGGTGTTAAACAGTTGACGGGTGTGTGATGGTGAAACAGTTGACGTGTGTGTGATGGTGTTAAACAGTTGACGGGTGTGTGATGGTGTTAAACAGTTGATGGGTGTGTGATGGTGAAACAGCTGATGGGTGTGTGATGGTGTTAAACAGTTGATGGGTGTGTGATGGTGAAACAGCTGATGGGTGTGTGATGGTGTTAAACAGTTGACGGGTGTGTGATGGTGTTAAACAGTTGACGTGTGTGTGATGGTGAAACAGTTGACGGGTGTGTGATGGTGTTAAACAGTTGACGGGTGTGTGATGGTGAAACAGTTCACAAGTGTGATGGTGTGAAACAGCTGACTGGTGTGTGATGGTGAAACAGTTGACGAGTGTGTGATGGTGTGAAACAGCTGACTGGTGTGTGATGGTGTGAAACAGCTGACTGGTGTGTGATGGTTTGAAACAGTTGACGGGTGTGTGATGGTGAAACAGTTGACGGGTGTGTGATGGTGTTAAACAGCTGATGGGTGTGTGATGGTGTGAAACAGCTGACTGGTGTGCGATGGTGAAACAGTTGACGGGTGTGTGTGTGATGGTGAAACAGCTGACGGGTGTGTGATGGTGTGAAACAGCTGACTGGTGTGTGATGGTGAAATAGTTGACGTGTGTGATGGTGAAACAGTAGACGTGTGTGTGATGGTGAAACAGTTGACGAGTGTGTGATGGTGAAACAGTTGACGAGTGTGTGATGGTGAAACAGCTGACAGGTGTGTGATGGTGTGAAACAGTTGACGGGTGTGTGATGGTGAAACAGTTGACGGGTGTGTGATGGTGAAACAGTTGACAGGTGTGTGATGGTGTTAAACAGCTGACGGGTGTGTGATGGTGTGAAACAGCTGACTGGTGTGTGATGGTGCAACAGTTGACGGGTGTGTGTGATGGTGAAACAGCTGACGGGTGTGTGATGGTGTGAAACAGCTGACTGGTGTGTGATGGTGTTAAACAGCTGACGGGTGTGTGATGGTGTGAAACAGCTGACTGGTGTGTGATGGTGAAATAGTTGACGTGTGTGATGGTGAAACAGTTGACGTATGTGTGATGGTGAAACAGTTGACGAGTGTGTGATGGTGAAACAGTTGACGAGTGTGTGATGGTGAAACAGTTGACGAGTGTGTGATGGTGAAACAGTTGACATGTGTGTGATGGTGAAACAGTTGACGAGTGTGTGATGGTGAAACAGTTGACGAGTGTGTGATGGTGAAACAGTTGACGAGTGTGTGATGGTGAAATAGTTGACGTGTGTGTGATGGTGAAACAGTTGACGTGTGTGTGATGGTGAAACAGTTGACGAGTGTGTGATGGTGAAACAGTTGACGAGTGTGTGATGGTGAAACAGCTGACAGGTGTGTGATGGTGTGAAACAGTTGACGGGTGTGTGATGGTGAAACAGCTGACGAGTGTGTGATGGTGAAACAGCTGACAGGTGTGTGATGGTGTGAAACAGTTGACGGGTGTGTGATGGTGAAACGAGCTGACGTGTGTGTGATGGTGAAACAGTTGACTGGTGTGTGATGGTGAAACAGTTGACGTGTGTGTGTGATGGTGTGAAACAGCTGACTGGTGTGTGATGGTGAAACAGTTGACGTGTGTGTGTGATGGTGTGAAACAGCTGACTGGTGTGTGATGGTGAAACAGTTGACGTGTGTGTGTGATGGTGTGAAACAGCTGACTGGTGTGTGATGGTGAAACAGTTGACGTGTGTGTGTGATGGTGTGAAACAGCTGACTGGTGTGTGATGGTGAAACAGTTGACGTGTGTGTGTGATGGTGTGAAACAGCTGACTGGTGTGTGATGGTGAAACAGTTGACGTGTGTGATGGTGAAACAGTTGACGGGTGTGTGATGGTGAAACAGTTCACGGGTGTGTGATGGTGAAACAGTTGACGGGTGTGTGTCCTGTTACCTGCTGGTCTAAGTAATCCAGGTTGCGTTGCAGCTGTAGGTCTAACATGTCCTCCTGAGCCAATCAGCAGCAGTGACACATGGAAACAGACACATGATGTATGGATAGAAGGCTTATAGAGCAAAGAACCACAAGCAGTGGACCAATCACACGGCAGAGCTACAGCTCGTCACCAATTAGCTCCACACACTCTCAAACCAACATCTGGATCCTCTGGGCACTCTCTGGAAAAGTCTCTGCTACTGGAGACGGTTTCATTAAGTGACCAATGAGAGCAGAGATCGAGTTTGATGGAGCTGGATTCTTAACTTGAGTGTTTACTGTTTACTTTCTACAAGAAGTGGATAAAGAGTGAAGTTTAATCAGTACAGAAGAGTCTTAAACCCGCCTTCTCTCTGATGTCCAGCAGGGGGCGACTCCACTAGCTAGAGAGCAGAGTCAGTTTGTCTGCTTCAGTACTGCACGATGTTCTGATGATCCAGTGTCAAATCTCACACACACACACACACACACACACACACACACACACGCAGAGCAGTCTCAGAGTGTTAGGTACAGGTGAGGACAGGTGAGGACAGTTGAGGACAGGTGAGGACAGGTGAGGACAGACAGATTCACAGACTGCTGCTTTAAGTGCCACAGCTACAGTGTGTCCATGTGTGTGTGTGTTTGTGTGTGTGTGTGTGTGTGTGTGTGTGTGTTTATTTGTGTGTGTGTCTGATCCTAGTGTGACCTGTATGACATCACATCAGCAGCACATACCATTTTACTGTGGATGGAGGGGGAGACGGGGTAGTTGTAGTATAATCCTTGGCTTAAGGACCTCCTGTTTCCAGGGTAGTCATACTGAAGGAAGGAGGGAAGGACACAAGGAAAGATAGATAAGATAAGATAATACTTTATTATCCCACAACAGGGAAATTTACATTGTTACATTGACAGAAGGAAGGGAAGAATAGAGGAAAGCATGAATGAACGTAGTTAGAAGAAGAGCACCGTGTCCTAACTGAGCGAGCCAGCGTTCATCACGTCCAGTACTCAGGGCGCTGCTGTTGTTACTGAACGTATTTATTTAATTCTGTTTCCTGTTTTCTACCAGTCCACCAATCAACGAGTACGAATACTTCGTTATCTTGTCATCTCGAGGTAACAGCGATGGTTCTCTTGATGAGACATGGGGAGTGTTGATCTCTGCTTTTTACAGGAGTCAGGGGTTAAAGGTCGTCATGTTGGCCTCTTCAGGCCCCCGTATGGTTCATGAACTCTTGTTCAGCGCCGCTGGCTCGCTGTTAGGACACAGCTTGAGGTGAGCATGAAAACAGAACATTCATCTCTCAGACCGACGTTTGGAAAATCTCATTATGATGGAAGTGAAACCATCAAATTATGTAACTGATCAGAAAACACATACACACACACACACACACACACACACACACACACACACACACACACTCTCACCTTGGGGGAGCTCAGTGACCTCCTCAGACCGTACACAGATGGATCAGCATAGATCACGTCATCCCTCATCCTGCCCTGGAAGCGGTCGAAGCGGGTGGACGGCGATCGAGCTGGCGAGGCGAAGCTGTGTGGTACCGGAGAGTACGGTCCCCCCGAAGAAGAGGATGGGGACCGCGGGACTGACCTGGACCGGGGCTGGATGGACAGACGCCTCATAGACGTCTCCATCCCTCCATAGTACTGTGGCCCCCATGAGTCCCGGGACATGGGGGGTCCGTACAGCTGGTGGGGGCCGTCCCTCAGAGAGTGACGCTTCTCCTCCACGGTCCAGCGGCGGTCGTAACCCCCCACTGCAGACATCGTGCAGATGCTGTCAGGGCGGACTCCGGGAGGGTACAGAGGGTAGTCCTCTATGAAGGGGGGGCCTCCAGGGAAACCATAATAATCAGCAGGGACCCCCCGACCCACAGGGTAATAACGGGAGGGGCTGAAAACAAAGAGGGAGGGGTTATAAAGAGATCAGGACCAGGTCCCAGTCTGATGACCTGTTAGCTAGGATCCGTACCAGGTCCCAGTCTGAAGACCTGTTAGCTAGGATCAGTACCAGGTCCAAGTCTGATGACCTGTTAGCTAGGATCCGTACCAGGTCCCAGTCTGAAGACCTGTTAGCTAGGATCCGTACCAGGTCCCAGTCTGAAGACCTGTTAGCTAGGATCAGTACCAGGTCCAAGTCTGATGACCTGTTAGCTAGGATCCGTACCAGGTCCAAGTCTGATGACCTGTTAGCTAAGATCAGTACCAGGTCCCAGTTTGATGACCTGTTAGCTAGGATCAGTACCAGGTCCCAGTTTGATGACCTGTTACCTAGGACCAGTACCAGGTCCAAGTCTGATGACCTGTTAGCTAGGATCAGTACCAGGTCCCAGCCCTGTACACCTGCAGAGAACATCTGTCTGACGTACCTGTGGAGGTCCTCCTGGGAGGCCACGCCCCTCCTTTGGTTGACCCACTGCTGCAGCTGAGCCATGGAGCTCTTCCTCTGGGCCACCCTCTCTGGAGCTGTGCGGGGGACGAAGCCCCGCCTCAGCACCACGTTCTCCTGCTGGTCCCTTGGGTCCTGTAGGGGGCTGCCACCCCCCTCCAGGTGGCCCTGAAAGGGGGTGTGTCCCTGAGGTGGGGCGTGTACACTGTGGCTCCTCGAGGGGGGAATTCTGCTGCTGTTGTTAGGGGGCAGAGTTTTAGAAGAGCCATGGTTGCTCCAACCGTTTGGGTGGTGGTTCGGGTGGGCGGAGGTGTCAGGGCCAGGGCCTCCCCCCTCATCCTCCCCCTTTCCTGCCCCCACCCCACTTCTCCCGTCAGTGTTTGAGCGGGGGGTTGAAGGTGGGGGCGTTTCCTGGCAGTCCACCCCGTTAGTCTTAGTGAGGGGAGGCTCAGGTTCAGCCTCAGAGTCTGTCTGTGTATTGGGGGGCTGTTGTGTGGGGGGGTCAGGGGACTTGGTTACCGAGGTGATATCAGCTGGGGTGTCTGAGATCGTCCTAGAAAAAAAAGGATCATAGAAGAGGCTGTTAAAGGGGGGGAGGGGGGCGTGAAACTGGACTTCACAAACACTCAGTGTTTCCTGTGGGGACAGGGGGCGGAGCCTTATATCATAAGGGGCGGGGCATTTAAATTATAACTAAAGTAATAAAAACTGTCACGTGTTGGAATCTGTTTAAGTTCTCTGTAGTTTGACAACCTTTCTTCTTTTATGGTTGCTCTTTGCACCAAACAGAAAGTGAGTGCTGTCAGTATCACTTTCAGCATCTAGTGGTCAAAATAAGTATTACAACTACAAAGAGAGAAAATCTGATAATAATATCAATAAAATGATCCTGATGAACAACAACATGAAATGTTTAGTTTGAACTCTCTGGACGTTCTGTTTTTATTTCAGTGATCCTCCAACAAATATTTTTCCTGTTGCTGTTATTAAAGGTGTCTTACCTAAGAGCACCACCAGATGGCAGCACAGTCTCATTTAAAAACATCCTCTGCAGAGACAGAGGGAGGCAAAGTAGTACAGACGACGTGTGTGTGTGTGTGTGTGGTGTGTGTGTGTGTGTGTGTGTGTGTGTGTGTGTGTGTGTGTGGGGGGGGGGGGGGGGGGGGGGGGGGGGGGGGGGGGGATCACCTTGTCTCCGTTTTCACGGTAACCTGTGTGGCCTGGCTCATGGCTCTGATCCAGTCCTCCTGCTCCTCATGGCTGTCGCTGCTGAAGAAGTAGGTTCTGGTTCCTGCGTGCTCCGCCTGCATACAGAACACAACGGACCTATTCACCTCACCTTCATCACCCTGCTCGTCCTCCTCCTGCCACACCTGGGGGGAGAGAGAGAGAGAGAGAGAGAGGAGTCAGTGACATCATCACCTGCTCATCATTACAAACATCAGTGTGAAGATAACTCCAGTTTGAAACCTCTGACAGGTTTAAAGCTTTGACTTGATTTCACTGCTCGTGATTCTAGAGAGAAGCGAAGTCGGTCTGAGTTTGGTGAAGTCATAATAAAACAGAATGATCATGTGATTGGCTCCATGCAGCGTCCTGGTGTTAACGTCTCTGTGATTCAGTTCTCATGTTCTCTTTGGCTCCGCTGCAGGTGTGTCTTTCTCTGGGTCTGTTTTCACTCACCACCCGCCCACAACACTATCTGATTGGCTAGACTGGGCGCCTTCGACGTGCACAGAGACGAGAGCGG